CTATAAATTATGTAATACTAATATTACAGTAAATAATGAACGCATTGAAATGATAAACTCTACTGTCTTTCTAGGTATTACCCTAGACTGTAAATTACAATGGGGCCCCCATATTGCTGCCTTGGCGGGAAGACTTAGTTCAGCTGCCTTTGCGGTGAGAAAGATCAGAAACTTGACTGATGTTGAAACAGCAAGGCTTGTATATTTTAGTTATTTTCATAGTATTATGTCTTATGGTCTTTTACTGTGGGGCTCAACAGCAGACATAGAATCAATTTTCATTTTACAGAAAAGAGCTGTTCGGGCAATATACGGTCTTAAACCAAATGTATTACCATATTTAACAAAATACCACACAACCTTGTCGAATTGCCAATAAACAAATTTAAGATACATATAAAAAATACCCTTATGTCCAAAGGGTACTACAAGGTTCGAGACTATATTGATGACAAGGATGCGTGGTCAGTTCAGTCTGCACATATTTGATGTACTTAAATTTGACTATTCTTACCGTTAGATAATTCCTGGCAATAAGTGGTGACTGAGTTTGTTCCGGCGTTTCTTCTCAGCACTTGCCATATGTTTGTCTCGAAGCGCTGGTAGGGCCCAAAAGATAAGGAGACATGTAAAGTGCCCCATAAGGGCTACCTTTTTCTTTTTTTATTATTTTCTATTGACGTTCATAAGTGCCACTTGTGGTCTAAACTGAATAAATATTTTTGATTTTGATTTTGATTTTGATTTTATGAGATTATGTGCTGTGACAAAATAAATTTCACGCGGGTGAAGCCGCGGGCAAAAGCTAGTTATAAATAAATAAAACTTTAGACAATTTCACACAGCGAAAGCTAGCCCCACAGTAAGAAACTTATATGCTTGTGATAAGGGTAAATAAATAAGTAGTCAAAGGACCACACGACGTAAATAACAGTTTTACAAGACAGCAGTTTTTATTTTAAGTAAAAACCATTTCATTCACATTTCAAAGAAATTAATATTGTCTTCGATATAGAAGTCCTCTGTCAAAGGTAGACACATCAAATATTTGTTAATTCTCTTTTATTACTTTCGTAAGTAAACATAAAACATAATTTATTTCCTTAATAAATAAATAAATTGCCAAGTCGTAGATCTGCTTGTCTCGAAAATAGAATTTTGATTTGTTTGATGCTAAGTATATAACTTTATATACAAAGTTGTGTATATGTCGCAGCCACATAGCTTAATTAGCCGTTCAGTAAACAGTCTATCCTCATCACTAAATACCGTTGTTCAACTAGCAGCCTGAATGATATTCAGCTATTTGATCAAACGGCTAAAGAAATGACTTGGATTGATGAATTTATATTTTTTAATGCATAACAAGCATACACAATTTGACCGCATTCGCACCAGGCGTTAAGTGAGCAACTAATAACTATGTATAAGTAACATTATTTCATATAGAATGCCGAAGTAGAATAACTGGAATACCCTATGGAGTATTTAAATAGGTAACTGTATAAAGCAAATTACATTGTATAACATTGAAGGCTTTGAAGGATCGCGTTTCAAGTGTATATTGTATAACCGAATAACAGTCGAGTGAGAGTACACTTTGAAACCAAATATTTCCGTCGTGAATAACAAAGTAAGTGTTAAGGTAAGTATAGACTAGAGCAGTGTATTTCAACCNTTTCAACCTTTTTCATGACACAACCCCCCTATACTTATGACAAAAATATTTGGCGACCCCCCGACCGTTCGTTTTTTTCATGCATTTTATAATGTTACAAAAATGTTGTAGGGACCGAATACTTGAATCCATACAACATTTACGCATTTGTATAATTAGATTTCAGATAAATCTATCTTTAAAACTTTACTATTTTTTTACTGAGGTAGTTTTTACTACCTCTCGCGACTCTCCAGGCTGACTTTACTTGTAACAAGGCAACGAGCCGCTCTACGATACGTTTTATTCATTTATACTAATTGGGAACATGTGGTCGTGGCCTAACAACTACACACTGGAAGATGAATAAAATTGATGAATGCTACTGACAACGCCACTCTTGTAGCGGAGTTTTGGGCTGACATTGTATAGGTTTGTTGTCGACACGACAAGAAAAAGTATTGGGAAATATACAGTTTTGTACAATATAATTTTAATTAGGTGCAGAAAAATAATGTTCTAATGTATCACCTTCAACTAACAAAATGTCGTACATTTTAACTATATNGCACGCCGCGATGGAAGATTAATAAAATTGATGAATGCTACTGACAACGCCACTCTTGTAGCGGAGTTTTGGCCTTACATTGTATAGGTTTGTTGTCGACACGACAAGAAGAAGTATTGGGAAATATACAGTTATGTACAATATAATTTCAATTAGGTGCAGAAAAATAATGTACTGGTGTATCACTCTTTCACGAATCAAATGTCGTACATTTTACCCATATTGTACCATTCGTAAGAACGTTACATTAAAAAGAAATGCTCGAGAAAATGCTCTACTAGTCTATACTCACCTTTACGTACTGACATTTACTGAGCTTGCTCGTGGAAAGTTTTCAAGCACTTGCCTATTTTTTTGTATTTCACTATCTTGTTTTTTTTTTCATGAAATAGGCCAAGAAGAATAGACTGTTCTGTAGTTAATTGAAGATTGAAATCATATTTTTCTTTCTTTAATCCATAATGTAAGGACATAACTAACAATGATATTTTGTTTTTGTGAGTTATAGCACAGAATACTGAAGTATTGTTATAGGCATTTGACATGCATCAATCGACCTATAGCTTATTAGGTAAGGGTTGTATTATATTGCCCTTTCAAATAGAAGATAGTCATATAATTTCTGTTACCAGGGTTGTAGTCTTAAGAGTTTTTTTTAAAGATTATTAGTAATTAGTTAGCATGCTAAGCTAAATATGCTTGTGTTACGAGTGGGCTCACCACAATAGTCAAGCGGCGATATTGGGATACGAACCCCCGTTCGGCTATCGTGGCTTCTTTACAAGGTTTAAGATAGAAGAAGATTAATTTGATGACACATTTTCAATTTAAGGACTAAATCCTATTTGTATACTCGTAGATGTTACTACCTACGCACTTCATGTATGATCATCATGAGTAAAGTTGTAGAAATATGAATCAGTCAAGGGTAAGTAGGTCTTATTGCAGTGTGTGCATTTAAAGCAGGGTACTCATCTAGCCGTGTAGCATGTAATGTATCAGATCAGATACTGTATCAAGTGAGTACACATATGCATGAGCCCGCTACTCGCGCGTGGTTCGCAGGGAGATCGTAGCGATCCGCCGAGTGGCGGTATCACTGCGAGCATAAAGGCGGATTCAGGAGCTCGCAGCCAGATACGCGATGACCGTGGACGAGCTGTACTCACTTGAAGGTTGGTTACGTTACATGCTACGTTACGTGCTACATGGCAGGTGAGTACCTTGCCTAAGATATCGTTTACATTAATCGTTCAAACATCTGAACTTAAATCCCTACCATAAAATGATAGAAGATTTAAAAAGATGTCACGACTCTTGATGCAAAAGGACGTATCTGAGATTAGCTTGAATAGCGCTAGTGCACTAGCTCTTTAGTGATCACTTAGAATTCTAGAACAGATTACTATTGTGTTATAAGTTGTATGTACAATTATTGCACATTTTGGTAAGGTTACTTTAATACATTATTTATAATTTTCAGTTATATCTACTAAAGGATAGATGAGTGTCGTATTTGAAATGAAAATAACGCATTTTGTGAGTCTACGCTGTCTTATATTTTCAAACTCTATGATATTTTTTGATTTGAGATATATTTTGAGTGACAGTCATAATTCCTTTAGTAGCTTAATCTACATGTTTTAAAAACGAGGTCCTAAGAAATTTTTAAAGTAATAACTCTGCTATAGGTATTTAATTTGACCTAGATCATTTCAAAATTAAAAACTCGTTTTTAAAACGATAAAGCCAACCCTAAATCCATTTTTTGTTCTAGTAAATATGAACCATTTTGTACATTTGTATAAGTATTTATTGTTCAAGTTCTTTAACAAAATAAGTTAAGTTTAACTCATTTACCTTGCGGGCTGTATATAGGGTTACTTTGCAAACATTTGCCAAATTAGGAGCGACTCAGAATCAGTAATACGCCCGTATTCTTAAACGATGCGTGCTTAAGTGAAGCAGCAAATCGAACGCACAGCGTTGAATAGAGCTCTGTGAAAGGTTCGTGTGTCACCCTGTGCGTCCACGCACACTGTGAGACCTCATAGTAATGTTTGTGAATACGGGCGTCAGAATCAGTAACTTAATTAATTTCGGTAGTGAAAAAAAAAATCTAAGCCACTACTGTGGATCCCAATCTCGTTCAAAGAACCCGCCCTTTAAACATATTTCACTTTGCAGGCCCCTGGAGATCACAATCGAGCACCAAGGCGTTACAAATGTCAGTAATATTATGTAATGTTTATTTCCTAAACTTCTCCTGTATTATTGCTGTGTCTTAAGAAGTTGTAATCAAAGTTGTGTGAACAAAAGCAATTTTGGGAATAATGGATATTTTTATACTTAAATAAACCATAAACTTAAAAAAGATCGCCATAAATCATCATATTTTTTATGCGAAAGAAGTAATATTAAATTTTTCTTGCAAAAGAAACATTGCATTTTATTTTATCACGTACGAAATGAAGACGTTACTCATATTTTCCTGCCAGTAGGTACATATTAATGAAAATAAACAGTAGTTACATTATCTATTGAATTTTTCTAGCGTTAAAAGTCGCATCTCGTTTTTTTCATTTTATCGTATTTATTCAAGTTACTTCCAAACAGCTACACATTTTTTTTTGTTTTTGGCTTGAATTTGAGATACTAAAGACTAAGAGGTTTTGAATCTATTCTCGAATAATACTTTTGTTCATGGATTTAGAGAAGGCATTTACAGACTAGCGTTTAGTCTAAAATACTGTTCTAAAAGTTAAGGACACTGACCTTTGCCCAGGGCTTTTGCTTTCGCTGCTGGCATTGTTGCTAGAGTCCTCATCGTCTTCCCTAGACGTGGCAGCGGAGAGCACCCTGGATGACCCCGCGTTGACCTCACTACCATCGTTGTCCTCGACCTCGGAATTGCGACGACTTGTGCCTTCTTCTGCCTGAAGAAAAAGAGGTATACGATGTTAATTCAGAGGTATAGGGTGTAATTTAAGAGGTATAAGATGTAATTTAAGAGGTATACGATGTAATTTAAGATGTGAATAAAGTGATGAGTGGGTATACGATGTTAAAAAAAGTATTTTTTTGTAATAAAGATGTCTATGTTGGAATTACGAGGTCTGTATTTTGTTTGAGAGAACTTTAAAGTACTTAATATAAGGTTTTTGTACTTAGAAACAATTAATTAACTGTCGAAATGATTTGAAGAATGTGAATTTCATCGTTTTTAACACGGCTGAAAATTACAGATTAGCAAACATATTTCCCGCGCAAATGCTGCCCCGGATTCCATTTTTTTTATGCAGAAAAGTTTTACAGTGACTAAACAGGTTAAATATCTGTCGTAGGCATATCCACATTAACTGTAGTTCAATTATTATCTGTAATGAATGCAGTTAGGTTCCACATTATGTTGCATTATGTGAGTGTCGTGCAAGTAATTTGCCATGATTGGTACATTTGTATGTACATTATATTAATTTACATTTAATTTTCATGCGTGCAAGGGATTTTGGCGGTTTTCGTGGTCATCATGCATTAGGGGGTTGAATGACACATAAAAACGTGCAGCATTTAAATGACTTGTTTAATCTAATTTATTAATGGGATTTTAATTAAGTAGGAACATTTTATGAAGAGTTATCAAAAAAAGAAAGTAACTTTAATTAGAATGAAAACTTAAACTAAAAAAAATGCAATACTTACTTGTATTGTTATAAGTGGAATAGTTTCTTCGATATTTTTGTACATAATACAAAAAGTGTGTTTTGATTTTTATGTGCACTTTTATACAAAAATCGTGTTGTCTGCCTTGTCTATTGTTTTTACAGGAATTTACATAATGTCATTAGATATGCTTTTTTTTAAAGCTTTGTGAAACTACAATGGTAAGCGAGGTTTCCTTTTTTATGAAGGTTTCTAATAATGTAATAATAAACTATTAAACTATTTTTTACTGTTTTACTAGTTATGTACCTATGATATAAATAACTAGTTAAAGACATGGGCAGTGATTACATTGAAAAAAAAAAACTATTAAAATATATTTTATTGTTTTTTTTAGAGCTTCCTCGTTGTGGATAAAAAAAAAAAATCTAATTATATTTACGAATTACAAGCTAAAGGAAATTTAAGCATAAGTAAGTAAAAACTACAAAAGAAACAAAAGCTGTAATAGATAAAAGATAAACTAGAAGCATAAATATAAAATTTAAATTTGCACACGTGACAAAGGAGATAGGTATAAGCATAATTTTTCTCTACTAATTTATCTGTTATTAAAAAAAATAGCGAAATACTTTAAATAAAGTAATAAATAGGAGACCTTTTTAAAGTCTAGATCGACATTCCCAGCTTTTCCTAACCGAAGCTCTTCAAGCGTCCAATCTTTGAGTTCCACTCTGTAGGTATATGGGAAATTGACTTCCCATACTTCATCGCCTTGCCGGGAAGGACGGAAACCCCCACTCTTTTGTAATTACCCTCCCATCCGCAATTTTCCCGGCGACACGATCCTCAATATCATGAGTGGAGTGGCAGTCAGTATGCATGTATTGTAGGGTGGTAGTCCTTTGCTTTAGCTGTGCTAATGAGAAAAACTATTCGAGTAAGACACCCCAAAGTAACGGACAGACATGACGTATGAGTAACATTAAAGCCATGTATTCATTAGCCAACATTTTTGATAAACTGTTTATGACTAGACTAGTTTACCATAAACACAGGTTTCTGAAACTTGGCCGTCCACACTTGCTCTCCACTCATAGCGGGGAGCACTGCAACATGTATCTTAAACAATGTTTCATCACCTATGTTTATGGACTGTTTATAAACTGTTTACAGAGATAATAAAACATTATGAAACATTGTTTATAAACAGTGTCTATCATCTTATCAGTGGCTTTATTCTTTTACGCCCGTATTCTCAAATATTACTATGAGGTCTCTAAGTGCGCGTGAACGCACAGGGTGACACATGAACCAATCACAGAGCTTTATTCAAGCTGTGTGTTCGATTTGCTGGTTCACTTAAGCAAGCATCGTTTGTGAATACGGGCGTAAGACTCTCATCTAGGAACCTTACCAAAGAAATTGTTGGACGAATAAACAAAAGTCATATTTGAGACCTAGCTAAGACAGTCGGTTTTTACAAATAAACGAATTTTGTAAATACGTCTACGTATCTACTATTTCTCGCTGTAGTCGGTGGACGCAAAGCTTTAAAGCGATTGGCAGCATGCATTCTCGACTCTCTCACCTAGTATTCTCTCTCACTAACTACATAGTATTGGTTAATTTTGACCGAAGAAAATACACAAAAACAGTCAATAAAGCAATCATTCGTTCCCAATTTGCCTTGTCGAATACAGATAGAAAGGATAGTTACTACGTTTTTGCATTGAGCTAGGTTGTGGGTCTGCTCAATAACACCTAGATAGTTAGTCTTCATACAGCTAAGTAGCTTAGTCGTCAAGTTAGGCAATAATCATTTTTGTTATCCAATATCCACTTACATAGGTTTTCACTAGTGTGTTACTTGGTCATGTTAGAATGTATGGGGTAAAAGCTAGTGGTCTAGTTTGAAGTGTTGCTGTCCTTGAATTAAGCTTTTAATAAGCATGTTGAAATCATTCACAAATTATTCCTAAATAGACAATTTGTGAGGGATCTACGACTTTTTTTACTCATACGTAAGACTACGGTTCTTGGGTCAGCAGTTTGGCTATATTTTTCAGTTCAGCAAATTTCTACTGGCCATTACTAAGAAAACTGTAATCCAGTTATACTACGACCTTATTAATGGATTCCTTCCAGTTCCAGAAAAAAATCGTGTGTCACGGGATACTGTATCAGATTTATGTAAAGCAGAAGCAGTCATAAAAACAATAAAATGACATTTTCGGTGACTAACGAACAAAAAATGACAAATTGTGCGAATCTAAATAAAATATTCGTGGAAACAAATTGAATAATGCAAGGGGAGGCTTTTTCGTGATACGGTATCCGTAGGTGTATTCTTCTCTGTCATTTACTCTGGTATGGTGTGGTGTGCGAAAGAGATAGAGCAGTGCCGGTATACAAGGTAAAAATACTTCGAAAATTTTCGACCCTAAATCGGAAACTACCTACGAGTAACAGGCTAGCATCTGACTGTACTACTACAGCAAAATTACGAATGTCCCTATGTGTTTGGAATATTATGTCCTTCGAGTCAGAGAGAATCTGACACATGGTGGTGGTGGTAAGTTGATTTGCTGTCAACTGTGCAATTCCTTTCCAAGTCACATCATCTACAGAAGTCTGGAACACAAATTGAATCCACTTGAAATACCTACTTACATTGTCTAACAAGTGCTGGAAGGGAAGATACATTTTGCGTATAATTTTTCACTGTCACTAAATTCCCCGAGGTAGATAGGTACTTTGTACCTAATAATATGTAAAAAGGCTCATCTACTTCATATCGTTTTCCCGGAAATTGAATTTTTATCTTCGGAATCTTTCAGAAGTTACTGATACGTAAAAAGCACCAACATTCGTTTATTTATAACGTATATACTTAACTAGCGGCTGCTCGCGACTTCGTATGCGTGGATCCCGTTTTACCCCCTTTGGGGTGGAATTTTGCAAAATCCCGTCTTAGTGAGACTGAGCACCTACGTTCTAAAAGGAACCCCCATGCAAAATTTGAGACCCATAGCACTTGTAGTTTCTGAGATTTCGTGATGAGTCAGTGAGACAGTCAGTCAGTCAGTGACCTTTCGCTTTGATAGATAAAAGATAGATAAATAAACGAATGTTGGTGTTACGCGTATCCACATCAGCAAGCAACACACAAATGTTTTTATAGCATCGCAATTACAACCTTTTGTTAAAGTACTCAGTTAAATATCCAGCAATTAAACCTTTTTCTTAAAGTACTTAGTTAAATGTCCAGCCATCGTTACATTATTCGCTAAAATGTAAAAGATTTTCACCAAGCTGCAGTGTAGTTAAGTGTAGGGAACCCTAATGAGTGGGCTAGGGGCAGCCCCTAGAGTACCTCTTGTGGACGAGTAGCTTATTGCTACACAGAATTGCAGATTTAAACTGGTGCTCTTAAGTTCTCGGGAAATTTTTATTCATGAATTTGCTTTAGTGAAATCTTTCGGGACTTGGTTGATGTATATTTAACGACTGATTTGGCCATGTTGAGTTGCACCACAATATTTTAACCGTACCATAACCATATACGGTGTTTTTTGTGTGGAGTTTGATAGACTTTTGACGTTTGTTAAAATTAAAGTGGTGCAACCCAGCCTTAGTGTGTAAGAAATAATATGAAGTACAGCCGAGGGTAAAAGTCTTGTATAGTAGGTATTTACACGAACTTTTTGGAGCTACAACTTATCTTACATGGTTCCTATTTATTTCGATACGAACCATTAAATCCATAACAGCCCTATCTATTACATCACTATGTATGTATTTTATTACTTTATCCTTTATTCTATCTCATGTAGATTGAATCAGCTTTACGAAAACTATGAGATTTGGTACTCGCTACAATGTAACCGAGTATAGCTTTCAACGTTTGCAAAGTCATTTTATACCCATCTCAAGTTTGTGTGGCCCAGAAATGTTTTATTGCATGTCATAATAAAAGCTTGAAGTATAATAATAGGACAGGATTACTTAGTATTCTCTTAAAAGTATTTTGTTAGCATCAAAGATTATAGCAGTCACTTGTAAATGTAATAATGTACGAACTTATTTTTAAGCAGCTAGGAAACTCTTTAATTGGCTCAGATTTAATGCTCATCAAACTAACATGAATATTGTAAGACAGCTGTTGAGTTTCTGAATAAATAAATAAATATTTACAATGGTAGAGAAATTACAATGACTCTACATAGTAAGTAAGTGCTAGTAATTTAAATAAATACATAGATAATTATTT